ATAACTAAGAAATAAATATCTCATGTCCCTTACATGTAGGTAATTGTGTAACATTTCGTTTATTTAATGTAATAAATTAACGTTATTTAATGTTTACATTACAGGTTACGCAGCTCGTAATAATACGACTCCGCCATTCAGTACTAATAAAATGATGGGTCTATTAAAAGATGCTTGCAGCAAAATAACGAAAGAAGATTGGGTCAAGGTCGTCGAAAAGACTCGAAAACTAATAACAGAAGATTATGAACGCGATATAAGAGTGGACACCATTATAGAGAATGAAATTGTCATACAAGTGACTGATAGCGATGACAGCTCTGGCGAATCTGGTTCAGAGTCTGAATAATTGTTTTAATAAATGATAGGTAGTCATTTATTAAAACATCTTGTACCTACTCTATTCATTAAAATGTGTAACAGTGTTTACAAATTTGTTTTATTTTGATATGTCCTCGACCAATTATCTACGCCCATCAAGGATACTCCACCTAATAAAGAACCTGTGTCTTTAACTATTATTGTTTTGATTTTATTTAATTACACACTATACTAGAATATTTAAAAACAAACTGTTCCCAAATGATATTAGGGTTACTGGTTCAGTCACTTCACTAGTATTGTCAATTCGTCATGTGTCAAATCGGTAATAACTCAGCGGCCGGACTATAACTATATAAATCTTTGACCAACGTAGCTTAAACAACCGCTCTACACGATGGCCATCGTTGTTGGCCAACACATTCGCCAGTATGTTGGCCAACGTGAAGAGCCGCCAAAAAACGCATACCTAGAAAAAGATAAGAAATATAGATTTGCTTCTCCCTTACTCTTATGTCTAACTATATAAGTGCATTCCTTTCACACGGTGATGACGTCACTGAATGTTTAGTCTATAAGATACTATGTCTATGCCCCCCTAGTACAGCAGAATATTTCACTATCATAATCACAGACTAACTAGTAGATTCTAGATTCTACAATTCTACAATCATAATCCCGCCTAAGGGTATTAGTGTTCTGTGATCATAATCATAGAGACAATCATAATCGTTAGTATCATATTAGTCTGTGATCATAATATTGGTGATACTTTTAAGTAGGTACACAATCATCTAAGCATTAAAAAGTAAGAAAATACAACTACTGTTTATTGGTTACATAAACATTACAAATACATATGTAAAGTATATGCATTAATGTATTTGTAAAGATTTCCTGGATCATCGGTTAAATTGAGGTTAGAATTATTTAAATGCACATAAGGCTTTGTTCATAATATATTATTATAAATGGACCTAATTATGCAATTAGGAACCAACCCACACAATGATAGTTTTGAGAAAATAAGGTTCTAAATAAAATCTAGTAAGGAAAACAAACTATATATCATAATAACTGAATTTTGCAGTGTGATGAATGAAGCCGTCTTATTTGTGTTTAATTAAAATGTTTCGTTACTTCTGAAAAAAGTGCTTTTTTTTATTTAAAAATACATTTGGTTCCTTTCTGCAAAAATGCACTTATGTGGGTTGATTCCTTTCAACATTTAGTGATTGTAAGTTGAAATAAACCATTACACATTTATTATGTCCATCATAAGACAGTAAACTACTACTACTACTTCATCTTAAAAATTATTTTACACCAACTTCTTCTTCAAGCTCGAAATCTATATAGCCTAAAAAGCCTTTCAGGTCATCCTCAATTTGGTCATCTCTGACAAAATTAACATGAAATTCTTGGGCGTCGTGAGGTATGAGATGTAAAATACTTTTAAAGTCCTCTAACTTTGCGTTAGCAATGGATTTTCCATTTGGCCAAAGAGGTTCCATCACTTCCTTAGATATTTCAAAACTTGCCCTGCCTTGAACAGTCTTTTATGTTAATCTTATTTAAATCTTCAGCGAAGCGGCTTCTCATGTGTATGTAATTAGTTTCTATCCAGTTGCAGACGCAATTGATTAAAACAGAACCATGTGCCATGGTTCAGCACAAATAACATAGTTTTTAGAGTTGGTTCCTTGAGTAGGTAGTGATAACTTGAGAAATAATTGTCATATCACTTTGATCTTTACAGACATGATAGAAGGTGCATTTTTGAAGCATTCTACATAATTAGTTCAAATTTTGATAGGTTGTGGATTAGTTCCTTATTGCATAAGTAGGTCCAAATGTAATGTCTTAATTGGTATTATAAATAAATAAAATAAAACAATGGCAGTATTATCCCACTCATTGTACTCATTGTTTTCTAAAGAATTTGAGTGCCATTACATTGTGTGAGATTTAGTAATTATTGTACATTTGCTATATATATATATATATATATATATATATATATATATATATATATATATATATATATATATATATATATAGTATATAGTATATCAAACAAAGTCAAAAACAAAGTCATGTTCTGTGACTTAATATTGTTATGAGCTTGGGGTTCTAGACAATTAAAAAACTGCCGATTGAATTACCAATATTGACACTTTAATTACAGAACACTAATTACAATCTACAACCACACTAATAATAATGTACAATAGTACTACTAATCACTTTAGTTTGCAGTTATTTTGCTTCGAAGTATTCTCTTGTATCGCCAATTCAATACTCTCCCGGTCGTGGTCTATACTGGCCTTATATAGGGCCTCAGATACTTTCCAGAACCTTCTACTGTAGCGACATCTAGAATGTTCGAGTATATATATATATATATATATCGGTCCCTAAATTTCTAGAAGGATCTTGACTCCTAGTTCTGCTACTCGACACTAGAGGGCGCTAGGGGTAACTGGTGTTGCCATGTACAAGACATTAATAGTGGCGTGCAACAATATGTCTGTTGCATGCCTTTTCTTATCTACAAAAGAAAATATTTCTATCATAAGTATGATTATTTTTATTTAATTTTGTGTCATTCATTGTTAAGCATTGTAGAGATTTTTAGAACAGAATCATTTTAAAAGAACTTTTATATTCTTGTCTCATTGGTTAAGGCAACACCTAATAGATAGGAGTTTTCTTATTACTAACAACATATATAATATACTAAAATAATGGGTTGAATATAGACGTCCGGTACTTGATTTTAATTGTTTTTAATTTAGGAGGCTTGTCAGGGTTAAGCTTGAACCTTTTTATACTGTTATATTGTTTGTCGGAAATGTGTTTTGAAATAATTAGGATAAAAATAAATTTCATTAAAAATTGCATATATGTATGTCAATTTGGTCTAGTATTATGAAGTAGATGTCCGGTACTTGATTTTAATTATATTTTCAGTATAGGAGGCTTTTCAGGGTTAAGCTCCAACCTATTACACTGTTTTTGGATCTCGGAAATGTGTTTTGAATTAATTATGATAAAAATAAATGTCATTAAAAACTGCTTAACGAAATGCAAATATGTCAATTTGGTCTAGTATTATGAAATAGACGTCGAGTACTCAATTTTAATTATGTTTTCAGTTTAGGAGGTTTGTCAGGGTTAAGCTTGAACCTTTTATACTATTTTTGGATGTGTTTTGAATTAATTACGATCAAAATAAATTTCACAAATAAAAAATTGCATATAATGAAACAGGTCACCCATAAAAAAGTTATTTACTCGGACCCAGACAATAGATTTGTGACAATAAATTGGACTTGTACACAACAAATTAACTTGCAGCAGAGAGCAGTCAAGACGTTTTTCATAAAACATAATTATAACAATTCACATTATATTGCTTCATTTACCACTATCATAGCAAAGTTTAGGGCGAACTGACTTTGTACATAAAATAGGTCGAATTTGTACTAAAACCGAATCAGCACGCCCCGACTCCACATAATCTTTACTGCCCTACCCCTAGAGTGTTTTTGTAAAGCCGTAGGCACATAGGGAGAATAGCCCCCACCTGCTGTAGCAAGTAGCAGGCACCTGTATGAGCCGTAGTGGCTGAGGATTGTCGCCGAAGGCGACCATTGAGCCGAAGCTGCGTAGGTGGGCATGGGTGCCTGCGATTTGCTACGCAAGGGCGAATAGGCTGCATTTCCCGCAGCGCCGAAGCTGTTGCAGAAGTAACTTTCAGTCAATATTCCTGTGTAAATAGTGAGGTTATGAATTTATAAAAAAAATTTACCCATAAACCCATGGGGGAAGGGTAGGGGGGCTTTCCCTGAACCCATTTCTCCCCTCTCACCCCCGTACGCGAGTAAATTAAAACTAAAATATAGACAAAATCATACACTAAACAACATTTTTCACCTTATAATAATTATTCTTTTCCTTATCAACAGAGTAAATACTAAATACATTATAAAAGGATGATGAAAAAAACTTTTCATTAAAAATATCAAAAAATTAGCTTTAATATTGTTTTCGGTTTTTGCTTCTTCAATTTTATTTGTTCATTTTGTAGTTCCTATACAGTTCTCTGAACAATGTTTTCCAGAGGCTCTTGCACTAAAATGTTACACAGTTTTAGAGCTTTGTAGAATATTTGGAGACAGAAGAGCCAAGTGACTTTGGTCCCTTGGGAGAATTGTTAAGCCCTTGAGTAGCATGCGAGTTGATACTTTGATGCCCTTTTATCTTATTAGTTAGTACCTTATTTATGGCTGGAGAGGTCTTAGAGGTTGAACTGAATTATTGGTGCAAATATGAGTCTGCAAGATGTCTATATATTGGTATTATTTGCTGTTAAAACTTTAATGTGAAACAGTGTGAGGTTCATATATGAAAGTTTGTGGAGGAACTGTATCTGCAACAAGTTGTTTTAGTTGGTTGACATGGGTTCTCAGTCTTTTCTCACGCAAAGGTTAAAAGTATAGCCATTCAGCATGGAAATGCAGGTTACACTCTTGGCACTATGCAGTATTGATAAGGGATATATTCCTATTTAAGTTTTAGTATTTTTTTATTTTTTTTTATTATATTATTATTGTATTATTTTTATAATGACACCAAGAGGAAATAAAGTGAATATAAATTGTGTACAGGAAAATATGGGTAAGCTTGAACTACTGCAGACTTTAACTGGTCACAAAGGAATTGCTTGGAATGTGTCATGGCACCCACAAGGCCAAGTCTTTGCATCATGTGGTGAAGACAAAATGATCAAGTTATGGAGTAAGGAAGGTCAAGAGTGGACTGTTAAGACTGTTTTAGTTGATGGTCACCAGCGCACCATAAGAGAAGTGGCATGGTCCCCTTGTGGCAATTTTTTAGCTTCTGCAAGTTTTGATGCTACAACAGCTATTTGGGATAAGAAAAGCGGTGTGTATTATATTAATCATTAATGGGAAAACAATCTGGTGTTGCTGTATATAACAAAAATTATTTGTTACTAGGTCAGTTTGAATGCAATGCCACTCTAGAAGGCCATGAGAATGAAGTGAAAAGTGTGGCATGGTCTCCATCTGGGCAGCTCTTGGCAACTTGTGGACGTGATAAATCAGTTTGGGTTTGGGAAGTGGCTGGTGAAGATGAATATGAATGTGAAGCTGTTCTTAATGCCCACAATCAAGATGTGAAAAAAGTTTGTTAAATTTTATATAAATTTATATTTTTGGATTAAAACAAAGATAAATTATAAATTACTTTTGTAGGTTGCATGGCATCCTTCTCTAGATATACTGGCATCAGCATCATATGACAATACAGTGAAGATGTATAAAGAGGATTCTCTGGATAGTGATTGGTCATGCATTGCTACACTGCAGTCACATGAATCTACTGTTTGGAGTTTAGCTTTTGACAAAACAGGAGAGAGACTAGCAACATGCAGTGATGACAAAACAGTTAAAATTTGGAAAGAGTATAAACCTGATAATCAAGAGGGAGTTATAGTTAGTGATAGAGAATCAGTTTGGAAATGTGTTTGTACATTGTCAGGATACCACACAAGATGTGTTTATGATATAACATGGTGTCATAAAACTGGCCTCATAGCTACAGCATGTGGTGATGACATTATCAGAATTTTTAAAGAAGCAGATGATTCCGATTCAAATGCACCGACATTCGAACTTGTTTGTACTCAACTAAATGCACACTCTCAGGATGTTAATTGTGTGGCATGGAACCCAGCTGGAAATGAAGAATTGCTTTCTTGCAGTGATGACGGAGAAATTAAAATATGGAAGTTTTCAGAATAAACCTATAAGTTTCAGTTATTTATAATATGGTTTTGTAGTTTAAAGTTGCACCATTTGTAGAAAAACCATATTATTTAAAATAAATCATGTGTAATATATTACAAATAAATATTTTGTAAATAATAATTTAATGAACAAGAATTTTTGTATCAAATAAGGACATTTAGGATTAAGACTTAATTTCTTTATACTATTGTTGGTTATTGTTATTTCAACATAATTACTTTTATAATATAATTTGGAATAAATTTTTTCAATGCATCATACTTTTTATTAGAAAATGATCCAAACATTTCACTGTGAAGTATTATTTGCATAAAAACTGCATCAATCAAAATATTTTGTATTTATATTACTTCATATATTTATATTTTTCAGTCATTATCTGATGTTTATCACATTAAGGTATCTCAATATATTAAAGACTGGTAGTTCTTTTCGACGGCTCAATACATTTATTAAAACTCAAAATATGTCAAACAGTGAAGGTGCTGGACTTAAATTAATAGAAGTGCTTACAGAATTAGAAAATTTTGCGCCTAAACAACTATCAGAAAGTTGGGATAATACGGGGCTGTTACTACAGCCTTATACTCAAAGGTATGGTTTTTGAACTAAATGTTAAATCAAATCTTAGATTTTAATTAATAATTTAAAGAAATAAGAATTAAATTAATCTTAGACATAAGAGAATCCATCTATCCGATTTTATCCCATGGGTGTTGTTCGCGCCAAACGCTAATTTCAGGAACTAACGCGAGAGGGCGCGCACCTCGGTGCCATACCGGTTTTGACGTCGGCCGAGCGGTGGGTTGAGAACGCGTAAAGGCGAAACAGTCGTCTGTCAGCGGTGCTAACGTCAGCACACTGTCAATTTTGTCGGGAACTCGGAATAATTAGGCGCGGCTTCTAAACGTACTGTCTAGGATTTGTGACGCGTATTCCTTGCTGTAGAGCTTCCCCGGGACTCATTGGGTTTGACTCGGAATCTGTATAGGTGCATTCGACAATATTATCTAGTGCGGCCTTTGATATTCTAGAAATAACTGTTGCTACGCGAAACGGTAGTGACCTTTGATCCGGACACTCCGTGTTCGTTTTGTGCGTTAAACTTATGACAAACGAGAGTTAGTGGCTTCTGTAACTTAGTTAATCGTACGATAGAGTTAATGGACTGTCATCGTGACGAACGAGGAAAGTGACTGTGGACAACGCCGCGGAAGATCTCAATTTGGAGCAGCCTGGAACTCGGTCGCTGCTGGTCGCCTATGCTTGCCAAGGCCCCACGCATTCACACCTCATTGTACACTACTCGCCATCCACTATTACACACACTCACGGCCTGCCCAAGCCTTGGTGCGAAGTTAGCTTCGGATAATGGTAAGTACTATGTGTTTCTAGCTTCCTCCCATATTGTTTGTTGTAATTAGGAAATTCCACGTGGCCATATTCTGGCCCCGTCCCTCTGCTGCTCGTCGATGGGATTAGTTATGGGCCCTAATCCCGTCATCCTTGATTGGGGCAGCTAGGGGCTTGTACAGGTGTCGTTAAGAACTCATGATATCCGATAGATGGCGGTTTGTTTGCCCCAGACGGAAATACCCCGACCGACGATGGGAAGCAGCGTCAAATTCAGAGGCCTTTTATAAACTTATTCTTGCTCTTACACTGTACGGAGCGCTTCAAACTAGCACAATCTTTAATAATGTACTGTTGCGTGTTATTTTTTAATAAGTACCATCCATGCATACGCAAGCAAACACAAAAAAAAAAACAATATCCAATACCTAACATATCGAACAAAAACAGTAAACACATAGGTATTTTACTTGGTAGAGCCATGCTGCAGCTATATTAGTAGTATAGTTGTAGCACGAATGGGTCGGCTCGACCGGGGAAGGACCACGCTCTCACAGAATACCGGCGTAAAATAGCAGCTTAACACTGCTGTGTTTCGTATGGTGAGATAGAGAACCGGAGACCCTTTTTACTGGAAAAGAGGCATTCCATCTCCATCAGTCCCCACGGGTGACAACGTGTCTGCATTTTGATTCGCAAATGAGGATAAATGTAGATGTCTATGGACCACAGCAAACCATTTACCATCAGGTGGACTGTGTGCTCGTTTGTCACCCCATCTTATAAAAAAAAAGATACTGGAATCGTTTTAGCTACCTAACGAGTAATAAGCAAATAAAAATATCAGTAAATTGTTAAAAATTCCCCGAACACAACACCTATTGAAGAAATAGAAGCAATATTTTAATCGACATAAAGTTATAAATTCCTAATAGTACTTGGTTCGTGAACTACTATTACAGTTGTCGCCAATCCAGCTGCGGAGCGTGGCGATTAAGGTGAATCCTGCCTATAACTGGAGATTCCCAAATATAGCTGTAGACTCTTATGGGATGATGAAGAAGAACCTATAAATGTAACTTTTTTTTTTCATTTCAGACAAATAACCAAAATTCTGTTAACAAATGATTTGACCGAAAATGTAGCTTTAGAAGCTAAAAAGAGTGGATGTGAAATGATCATTTCTTACCATCCACCAATATTTGCTCCTTTAAAATCTATTGTTCAAAGGTGAGTGTTTAATTACGACTATAATATAATTATATATTAATTTAATGTTACTGTAGTATTTTAGAAACACGTGGTAGATCTTTCTTACTGGCAATGAGAATCTTTAGTCTTTCCAAGTGGCAACACGTCTCATGGGCTACAACATCCATATACTGAGTGAACGGTGTACTTGCTGCTCAATACTCACCTTTACTTCTGTAAAAAAAACCATGAAGCAAATACAAAGAGGAGACGTTGAAATTAAATTTCACTATGTAACAACGCGTGACAATTTGCAGGGTGAGGGGATGCAAAGCCCCGCCCACTACACTATCTACATCTACCGATAAATAGTAAAACTACTCGAATCTTTCCATATCGATGTTGCAATGTAGCTTAGCTACCTTGACGGTAGATGGCGGCATGTCCACAAAATGTTATAAACTATAAAAATAATATTTTGGCGATTAAAATTTATTTATGTCTGAATGCAAATCAAATTTCAGCACCTTCGTATGATTATTTTATCATTACGAAGCTCTACGTACCTTTATATTTTTAGTTCACAGGACACAAAGTGTCGCCATCTAGTGTGGAATATATTTAATTATATTTGAAAGCCGACGCAAAGAGATTTTCTAGAACTATTTTAATAAACTAGATGTAAAATTACTTACAAATGAAATGTGATGCCATCCATAGCATCGGATCGTCTATCTCATGAAGCAAATACATTCAGACAAAGAAATTTTAATCGCCAAAATAATATTTTTATAGTTTTCATAATAATTTTGGGAACAGGCCGCAATCTATCGTCAAGTAAACCTTATAAAAAATAACAAAAAGACAGGGCCGCAATTAGAATTCAGTTATTTTACCCAGTAACCCAACATTCAATATTAAAATGAAGGAAATTGTACTTGGCTGATTTTTACGAAATGTTAAGTTATATTTAAGTGACATTCTATATGCAAAGAATCACTTAAATACAATATATTCTATATTCTATGTTCAATATTAAGTAGGATATTTAATTTGGAACTAAATATCCTACTTATCTCACTAATATTATAAAGGGGAAATTTTGTGTGTTCTTTCTGTCTCCTTGAGCTTATTCCACACTAAGTATGTGTAATTTTTTCACGCAGAAACGGCTGGACTATTATTTATGTGTGGGTTATACTACTTAATATCTCTGAGGGAGAACAAATAATAGACAAATTATTATAATTAATATAATTTTATTTACAAATAAATTAAAATATAAATATTTTATTCCAAATTACGCATCCGAATGCACTTTTTGAATGCCAATTTAAGAATATAGAATGTCACTTAAATATAACTTAAACATTTCGTAAAAATCAGCTTAAGTACAATTTCCTGCATTTATTATTAAAAGTTGAATTACTGGGAAAAATAATTGAATTCTAATTAGGGCCCTGTCTTTTTGTCATTTTTATGAGGTTTACTTAACGAGAATACGGCCTGTTCTCAAAATGATTATAAACTATAAAAATAATATTTTGCGATTAAAATTTCTTTATGTCTGAATGCAAAACAAATTTCAGCACCTTCGTATGATTATTTTACCAATACTGAGCTCTACGGACCTTTATATTTTTAGTTCACATGACACAAAGTGTCGCTATCTAGTGTCGAATATATTTAATTATATTTGAAAGCCGACGCAAAGAGATTTTTCTAGAACTATTTTAATAAATTAGGTGTAAAAATATTTACAAATGAAATGTGATGCCATCCATAACATCAGAGCGTCTATCTGAGTAGTTTTTACACAATAAAACACAATACTTCATCCTTTTCTTCTTAATACTACGAAAATACACCGATTTGCGATTTTTTCAACACATAAGCGCACAGGACGAATGCTGAAAGTATACTAACTAAAGCCACGCCCACTATGATGACGTCAGGACCTACTTAGAATCACAGTGCACAGTTGCTTATGCCGTCTCCCCTTTGTATTAGCTTCATGAAAAAAACTAAATACCACTTTTTATCAACCTGTTAGCTTTTTCAAGAATATTAACTTCCAAAAACCAAAAATATGATGAGCCTGTGACTAAAAAAACACTCGTCATAAATTACACGGTATGTGAGTTAATTTCGATGTAAGTATTGATTTATCAAGTGTTTAGCGAAGGAAGACTTGCATGACTGAAGAATAAAGTATGTCGAGGATGTGAAGTCTGTCACTATACACTGAAGTGGTGCGAGGACTAATTATTGTTATATAACCCTCTTAGAAATGTGAGGAGGCTTGTGCCCACCCGTGGGATATAGACTGTAACTTAACTTTTTAAATAGTCACATTTTTAACAAGCAGTATTTTTTTTTTACATAACACCTAATGTATAAAATACTCTTATAAAAATTATTATTCAACATTTATGAAAATGTAGTAAATATTGAGTAAGAAAATTGTTATTAAAGATCTGAAGACACTTGTGCAAAACCATTTAAGTAACTAGCACAGCATATATAGTTTTTATTATCGCTAGAAACAATAATAAGTCTCTTTTTCAGTTCATGGAAAGAACGCATAGTTTCTTTTTTATTAGAGAACCGTATATCTCTGTATTCACCTCATACCAGTTGGGATAGCGTACAAGGAGGTGTAAACGATTGGCTAGCATCAGCTTTCCCTTTCTCAGAAGCCACTCCCATCATACCAGGTGTAGACCCTAACACAGGTGCTGGAAGGTATGAATAATTTGTCTACATTTTTAGAATAAAGCTAGTGTTCATATCTATAATAATTATACGTATTTTAATTCCTAATAACAAGCAACAACTTCGTCTATCATGCAGGTTGTTAAAACTAAAAACGGGCATAACTTTAGATGATGCCGTGACTAGTGTGAAGCAAATTACTGGACTAAAACATGTGCGTTTAGCTCTCGGCAACGGCAAAAGTATAAAGGACATTATTCAAACTGTAGCACTTTGTGCTGGATCTGGAGGGTCAGTTTTAAAAAATGTAGTGAACGGAGACCTTTTCTTAACAGGTACATTTTGTTTGAGTCCCTATAACGAATTATATACTAATTTAAAGCTTTTCTAATATAAACTTTTATTTTAGGAGAGATGCTTCACCATGATGTGTTAGATGCGGCGCAGAGAGGAATATCCGTCATTTTGACTAATCATTCCGATTCCGAAAGAGGATTTTTACGCGGTTTTTCTTCAATACTTCAAGATAAATTAAACAATCGGATACAGGTTTTAGTTAGTGAGTGTGATAAGGATCCTCTGATAACTGTTTAATTTTTTATTAACACAAATAAAACACAAGAGTAGTAAACTTAAATGCGTTTTGTATTATTAATGTTATTATTCTTAAGCATTGTTAGTTATGAATACAAAATCTTGTTCTTTCATAAGTTTGATACTTATAAAATTTCACGATGAGATCATTGTTATATCTTATCTATGAAACTGTAACACATAATAGACATGCATAGCGTTCAGTTTTTCGATTTATGATCAACATGCTTTACCACTCTCAATCTAAAAGACTGTGCTATCCATTATTGCAGTAGGCAAGATCTTTTTACGTTATGTGCTTTTGGTTTGCTTGCCCTATCCTTGTAATCCTTTCCGCATTGATATTTCTGTTCATCTGGAGAAAACTTCTCTGAAATATATTTCATTTTATAAACGTAAACTTAGGTCATCTTTCAACAATTTTCAGTACCTACAGTGTTTACAGTAGTTACTTACGTAGGGCAATTTTATTTAATTGTTTAATTCTGACCTTTTGTTCAATAGAATTTTCTTTATTATCTTTATTGGAATAATTTTTATGGTCAGATACGTGTTTATGTGGTTTTATTTTACGAACCGAAGACACTGTTCCATTTTTATCGTCATAATTTATCACATACTTGCTTCTTTTTGATTTATTTGAATCATATTTTTTGTCAGGTTTATTTTGCTTGATTCTCGATGAAGAAGTTAAATCTAAGTCAGGGTGGGATTTCCGTGAATCTATACTCAAATTGGTAATATTTATCTGTGGATGTGTATATTTTTCTTCAAGATCTCTACTAATTTTTTCACGTTTTGGCTCCTCTTTCAATGTTTTAGCTTCTTTCAACGCGTTAATACCATCAGTAGTTGTATGTCGACATATAGATCGTATACGGTTATCTTTTTCTTTATGTTCGCTTGTTATTTTGTTGCTACCGTCTTTCAATTTTTCGTTTTCAATTCTTCGACTCCTAGTATGAGAAAGTTCAGGTGTTACAAGTTTCTCTGTTCTTTGTATTCTACTTTTAGTATGAGACTTCGATGTATTATCGTTGCTATCGGTGTTTAATGAGTCTGATCGACGTACATATTTTCTGCTACTATCTTCATCATTTTTACTATTCTTCTGAGCTTTAGTACGTCCTGTGTTGCGTTCTTTTGTTTGCAAACTTGTGTCCTTTTCCGTGAGTGGATTTCGTTTTGAGTCTGTATTATAATGCGAACAACGGCTTTCTAAATCATTTACTTCCTTTCCTCTTAGATTTACGTATAACAATGTGCTATCTTTAGATTTTGTTATGCGGTCTGATTCACTTTTTAAATCTCTATTCGTATCTGATTTTCCACTTTTTGTTCTGAAACCAACAAAGAAAAATCTTTTAAATTACAAATATGTAAGATTTTATTATAAACAATTCAACATAGTATAGGGATATTTTTAATAACATTGACCAAGTAAAAAGTCACTGGATACTTTAAATATGTTATTAATACCACATTGTTCGTTATTTATTCCAGATTGATTCCAAATAAAAGAAATAAATAAAAGAAAAAATAAAATCTATTGGCGGTAAAAATTGAGTCCTGTATTTATTTATTTTTTTCAACACAACAATATAAGCTTTCAGTACTGGACCAAATTGCTCATAGGTATTACTTAACATGAGATTTTATGAGATCACTTATGTAATCAATTCATATAAGAAAACACATCCTTCCTAATTACATCGACTTTGTCAAAATATATCGGCATCAGGGTTACTTTGTAAAAATCTATTTATTAAATTTATGGCTTTAGCGGTTGGACTATTACTGGCATGAGGTAAGTTCCATGGTGGGGGGTAACAGAAAAGCCGGCGTTTCCGCCGTCCACGCATATAATGTACGGGCACATAGAAATGAACACATTCGCGTACCGATGTATTGTCCACCTTATTCGTTAGTAATAAATAGTAAAGAAATATTTGTGTATATTCTCGTCTGAAATGTAGAGTATCAAGGCTGACAATCCCTGACACGAACATGGAAGGGAACGGGTAGTAGCCATATTGACGTTTGTAAAGGTACCGGGCAAATTTACGCTGTGTTTTTTCAACCATAAGGATATATAACTTTTCTTGCGGTTTCCACACGATTGCGTTATATAATATTCTTGAATTGTGAAGAAGTTCTTACTATGAATCGTAGAGATTTACCGAGCGTCTTTACATATTTTAAATATGTGTTCGTGGAAATTTAGTTTGCTGTTCAGAGTTATCCCAAGACCACTTATTGTAGAGACACGCCCAATCGGTGAACCAGATGAGTCCAGTGGAGAACGTGATTAAGAAAAAGTTATAGATTTACATTTCGAAAAGTTTAATGTCAATTTATTTCTTAGGCTCCATTCTACCTTAGCATTAATGTCATGCTGTAGTGCTACACAATCACTAGGCTCGGTAAGCTTTATGAAAATCGAAATATGCTGCGTCAATTTGACAGCCTAACTTCATCTTTTTACTAACATAGTCAAAAAACCTTACATGCTTCGTCAACGCAGAGCGCGCTGGACGGAATTCATGCTGAGAATTATCTAAACGTTCTCCAATTTGTCTAAATATGGAATGTGACCCTATTCTATAAAAAAATACTTTTTTTATAGGATAGGGTGACAAACAAGTACACAGTCCACCTGATGGTAAGTGGTTGCTGTGGCCTATATACATGTACAATCTATCCTCAATTACGAAATCAAAATGCAGATGCGTTGCCACCCGTGAGGACTAAGATGGAATGCCTCGTTTCCAGTAAAAAGGATCTCCGATTCTCTACACTCACCATACGAAACACAGCAGCGTTAAGCTGATATTTTACGCTGGTATTTTCTGAGAGTGTTGTCCTTCTCCGGTCGAGCTGACCCTTTCGTGCTACAACTATATCAGTAATATAGCTGTACCATGGCTCTACCAAGTAAAATTCAAAGATCTTACCAAAGACTGATACTGCAATGGGTCTAAAGTTGCTGATATCATTGGATGTACCAACTTTGGGTATTGGTGTAACCCTAGAGAGTTTCCATTTACTGGGACAAGTACTGTTTTGCAGCGAAAGATTGTATACATACAAGAGAGGTTGCTCTAGAAATGACATACAATCTTTGACCAAGAATGCCGGTATGTTATCGAGGTCATATGCAAATGTTGTTTCAAGACTACGTACTGCCCGCCTAAATGCTTGTTACATGGTCCGTGTTAATTGCATCCCGTTCAGCGGCCTTTGGACCTAAGAGAAGAGTATTTTTCTGATAATCGGAACTGAAGCAATACGCTAACGCGTCGACTGCCTCCTGTCCCTATCATCGTATATTATCGTAAATAAATTCCTTACATTGTTGCCTATTTTTACGTTTATCTTTAACATATTTCCAGAAAGTTGAGTGATCAGAAGTAATATTTTTTATTTTACTTTATACCGTATTTATATAATTCTTAAAAGCTATTTATAAATTCCTTCACTTTGGTCTTGTAGTATTTAAATAACTCTATTAAACTTTAACCCATATATTTTAAACATTTTAAGAAGAGAGAAGTATATTATTTCTTTATTTTGTACATTTGATAAGTACACATATTTTCAATTGGATGTAACTCTTTCCAGAGGGACATGATTATTAATATCATCATGTATGTTACTGTAAATTATATCTACACCTATGTAGATGCTGCATTACTGATCAAATAGATTTGTCCAATCTATATTAGCAATTTCAGTATATAAGGCATAAAAATTAGCCTTGCGAAACCTCCATTCACAATTCAAATGCTAGTCTCGCCCTCGAGGTGGTAGGCTATTGATTGCAGCATTTATCTGTAACGTAAGTAGTATTTCTAGTGGTGGGTGATACGCATCCATCGCCACAACTGGCTCAACATCTGATGTAACATTTATACTTCGAGAGTCAAAGAGTTCTTGAAACGAAATCTAGGATGCCTCCATATTAATTGCAAATATTATTACATTGCTGCAACTTACAGTAATCTAAAACGTCACCCAATTGAGTTCTAACAAAGGTATTTCAACTTTTTAAATTAAAGTCGCACACAATTACAAACTGATATTCAGAATATGTAGTAATAGCATTCTCTATACAGTTTAAAATATCGAGATATTGCTTATCGTTATAACTAGGTGGTAAGTATACTATAGTATGTTTGTAAAGCAGGCGGAAAAACGTACATTGATTGACAATATCATCGGGGTAGCCAACCTTTTTCTTAGGGTTTACCTTTTTATCCTTGTATCATTACACACATCATCAGAGTGAAAGATAAGAGTGCCGAGTGCGAAGTTCTTCGCAGGCCCTGTGTCTATTATTATATTATGAAGAAAAAAGATTATCCTGTACTTATATGAATTAAAAAGCAAACTAATATCCATTTAAATTTATTATTTATAAATCATAGGAGTTATTAAAATTTTCATTATTATGTTAATAGTAGGTAAGTAGTTTAATAAGTAGATAGATAGGTAGGTAGTTGTACAAAATATAACCACTTATTAGCAGTCGGGTAAAAAGGCGAACTTTTAATGCTAAGCATTCTATGGCAGTCAACCTTGAAGCATGCATAAAACTTCTCAAAATAGACACTTGACAGACTATTCTTTTGTATCTATTTCAGAATCATTTTCTGATGATGACGACGTGGAAGAGTCCGTCACATTGATAATAAAACTATATAGGATATACGTCACTAGACCACGTTTCTTTTTTATAGACGTTTACAATCATTCTTTTTTCGGTTCCGAAATATGCGACACTTTCCGCTCCTTTCGTGGTGACGTAAAATTTTTATAAGAAAAAGATGTCGATGGACTCGGTTACCGGATACCGGTGATAATATACAAAACGTCACAAAACAATAACAAAAACTTTAATACAAAACGTAGCAATACAACAAACAAAACAAGCTTAATAAAAATGAAAACAACAAATATAACCGAAAAATTTATATCTCAAACTATGATGAGTCCTTCTGCACCCGCTCTCGCAAATACACATGACGTGAGACCACGAATCGTGTCGAAAAGGTTTGTTATCTCTGAAAGACCGCTTCCTTCACCCTACAACGTACCATGAGACACGCTTAGCGCATAACGATACGTAATCGATAATGAAATGTATGGAAGCAATGCCTGTCGTTATGTTTCGATGCTAACATAATACTTTAGGTCAATGTATGTTTTTCCGTCTGCCGTAGAAACATACTATACATATAATAAAAATTTAACATTTTTTCATATAATTGTCATCATCATCATTACAGCCCCTCACAAGTCCACTGCTGAACATAGGCCTCCCCCAAAGAATGCCACAAAGCACGGTCCTGAGCCACCTGCATCCATCGACTTCCTGCATATCTTACCAGGTCGTCACTCCATCTAGTGGGGGGACGCCCTACACTTCGCCTGCCGGTACGAGGCTGCCACTCGAGAACCTTTCTTCCCCATCGGTTGTCGGTTCTTCGAGCTATATGGCCGGCCCATTGCCACTTCAGCTTACTAATCCGTTGGGCTATGTCGGTCACTCTAGTTCTACTGCGGATATCCTCATTTCTGAGTTTATCACGCAGAGAAACTCCGAGCATAGCCCTCTCCATAGCTCGCTGAGCGACCTTGAGCTTCCTCATCCGGCCAGTAGTGAAGGACCACGTCTCAGTTCCGTATGTCATCACTGGCAACACGCACTGGGTGTACAGTCTCGTTTTCAAGTTTTGAGGTATACCTGACGAGAAGATGTGCCGTAATTTCCCGAACGCTGCCCAACCGAGTTGAATCCGTCGATTGACCTCTCGGTCGAAGTTGGACTTACCTAGTCGGACTATTTGTCCCAGGTAAACACTCGTCAACAACTTCGAGCTTAGTGTTCCCAACAACTACCGGCATAGGTGTGACATGGACATTAAACATGATCTTTGTTTTGTCCATGTTCATCTTAAGACCTATCCGTTGGGAAACACTATTGAGGTCATTGAGCATAGTGCTTAGGTCCTCCAGCGATTCTGCCATAAGGACTATATCGTCGGCAAATCGAAGGTGAGTGATGTACTCGCCATTGATGTTGATACCGTATCCTTTCCAGTCCAGAAGCTTGAAAACATCTTCCAATGCAGCGGTAAAGAGTTTCGGGGATATGACGTCACCCTGTCTTACACCTCTCTGCAATTGGATAGGTTTCGTACTCTGGTTCTGTACTCGGATAGCCATCGTAGCCCTACTGTACAAGCACTTCAACACTTCGATATACCGACAGTCAACTTGGCATCGCTGAAGGGACTGCAGCACCGCCCAAATTTCGACGGAATCAAAGGCTTTCTCATAGTCCACATACGCCAGACATAGTGGCAAATTGTACTCCTCGGACTTCTGTACAATTTGCCGAAGGGTATGTATGTGGTCTATGGTGCTAAAGCCTTTTCGGAAACCGGCTTGTTCGGGAGGCTGGAAGTCGTCAAGTCTGCGCGCGAGACGATTCGTAATGACTCTCGAAAACAGCACGTAGACGCGGCTCAGAAGGGAAATCGGTCTGTAGTTCTTCAAGAGAGCGTTGTCGCCTTTCTTGAAGAACAAGACCACCGCACTTCTGCTCCACGCCTCCGGTGTAATGCCACCATGGAGGACGGAATTAAAGAGCTTCTGAAGGACTTCAAGTACCGGTTTTCCACCCGCTTTCAGAAGCTCCGCTGTAATTCCATCCTCGCCTGGGGCCTTGCCGTTTTTAAGGTGCTGGAGAGCCATTCTAATCTCGCTCAGACTGACGTCCGGGATATCATCGGAATAATGTCGGATAAGACTCGCTCTTGGATCGTTACTCACACTTGCGTGCGGCTCCAACGATGACGTGTACAGCTGCCCATAGAACCTCTCAATCTCACTCAAAATCTCAGGTGCCCCGGAAACGATGCTGCCACATTCCGTCTTCAGCTTTGACAGTTGGCGCTTTCTGGCAAAGACTTTGGAGCCTTGGTTCCGCTCGATCGCTTCTTCAATACGAGCTGTATTGAAGTTGCGTAAGTCCCGCCGCATGCATTTGGAGATCTGTCTGTTCAGTTGCCTGTATGCTGTTAAATCTGTTGAAGAATGTAGTTTCATCTCCCGTCTAACAGCCATGAGATTAAGAGTGTGATCGAAGAGTTTTTGTGTTCTTCTGCGGCGGGTCTTGCAGAACTTAGCTCCGACCGCATGGACAGTTTCCACGAGCTTGTCATTCAAATCGCCCACTTCATTGCAGTCTTCTAGGCACTGAAAACGATTTTGTAACTCGAGCTGAAAGGTTTCGGGACTTTGGAACAGAGCACGAGGGGGACGGAGCGTTGACTTCATTAGACGAGACCTCTCCAACTTAACGTTTAGGTTCAGTGTGCCTCTAACCATTCGGTGATCGCTGCCGGTTTTCACCCTCGCGATCACTGAGACATCACTGAACAGTTGTCGTCTGGTCGTCATAATGAAGTCAATCTATTTTTTGTCGAACCGTCGGGGCTCGACCAGGTCCACTTCCTGTGGGGCCGCTTCTGGAAGAAAGAGTTCATCATAAAGAGTCCCTCTTTCTCCATGAAGTCAGCCAACTGCTGGCCCCTTGGGTTCCGTTGCCCTATTCCAAATTTCCCTACTTTCAGCTCACCGTTCTCTCTTGTGCCTAGTTTTGCATTGAAGTCTCCCATTAACACCGTATATTGGGTTTTGGAGGAATGCATAGCTCTAGATATATCCTCATACATTTCCTCCACCTCCTGATCGGGGTGTGCCGAGGTTGGTGCGTAAACCTGTATGACCTTCAGCGAATACCGTTTCGTGATTCTGAGTATAAGGTACGCAACCCTCGTCGACACACTCTCAATCTTTACAACGTTGTTAACGAGAGACTTGTGGACGATAAATCCGACACCTCCTTGGGACAGATGGTCGCCCTCCCGGTAATAGAGCAAGTTGCCGGATTCGAGGATTACCGTGTCCTCCCCCTCTCTTCGGACTTCGGATAATCCTATAATATGCCAGCGTAACTTGTCTATCTCTTCTTCCAGCTCCACAATCTTCTCGTCAGTCCTCAGGGTGCGTGCGTTGTATGTTGCCAGGTCGAGTCGTCGTAGGTGGCAACCGAACCTCCACCGGAGATTCTTAGCACCCCCTGCCCCGCCGTTACCATGGTCGCCACCGTAGCCAGGAATAGCGGGGCCGCCGGGGACTAGGGGCCGTTTATTATTGTCATTGCTCATGGGCCATAGTTGCCACGCTTGGCGAGCGGGTTGGCAACCGCAGTTTTTTATTGTTATTTTGGCTATTATCAGGAAGATGCTGCTGCCCATCTCCTGCCTGTTTCCCTTTGTCGCCTTTTACGACACCCACGGGAAGATATGGGGTAGTGGATATTCTTAACCGCCACTACACGGTGATATATTTGTAGCGAATAATAATTATTTGTATTTGTTTGAAGCGTCAGTAGTCTAATGGCAGGGCGCGAACCGCGAAGTCGAAAGGTCGTGGGTTCGAATCCATCATTCAACTACTGTCGTGAATTACTTCTAACCCAAGCATTTTAAGCTTACCAGAAGTGGTTACAGGGAATATTAGTAATGTTTAATAGCATTACTAGTATTAAAAAAAATGTCATCAGTTAGGTAATTTACGTTTGTAATAGGAAAGTTTCAGTAAGAGAGATGAAATCACAAGATAACGAGGTAATCTTTATATATATATATATATTAATCACGTGTCACATTGTTTGTCCGCGATGAACTCCGAAACCACTCAACCGATTTTAATGAAATTTTGTAAATGTTAAATAAAACTTGAAAGATAGAATAGTTTTTACCCGATAAATTACCCTTAATATTTTTATCGCGAATTTTTTAAAGGACAAAGGATCGTCGATTAGGGCAGAACAAAGTTTGTCTGGTCAGCTAGTATTATTATAAAAACTAACAGTTTTAGTACCTACGGAGTCCTCTAACATTTTGGTAATAAATTAGTATTTTCTTAGTATGACTTTTAACTTTAGACTTTTGCAATTGTAATTATTATGAGAGAAAAAACTTGGAGCCTTCGCTATTACACGTTGAGGAAGTTGAATTAAAGGGAGCGAATTTTGTACTAAGACTAACTGTTTTTTTTTTTGTTGGTTTAAAGGCTACGGTCTGAACACCAGGTGCTTATGAGTGACCAAATTGTCTGGAAGAGACTGCACGAAGCCAATCTTCATTGATGTTGACGTATACAGTTGTACACGTCAACGTTGGAGCCACACGCAAGTGTAAGTAACGATACAAGAGCAAGTCTTATCTGACTTTATTACGATGATAGCCCGGACATGAGTCTAATCGAGATTAGAAGGGTCCTCCAGCACCTTAAAAACAGCAAGTTTCCGGGCGAAGATGGAATCACAGCGGAGCTTCTGAAACCGGTAAAAAACCTTTAGAAGCTCTTTAATTCCGTCCTCCATGGTGGCACTACTTCGGAGACGTTGAGCAGAAGAGCGGTGGTCTTGTCCTTCAAAAAAGGCGACAACGCTCTCTTGAAGAACTACAGACCGATTTCCCTTCTGAGCCGCGTCTACGTGCTGTTTTCGAGTCATTACAAATCGTCTTGTGCGCAGATTACGACTTCCAACCTCCCGAACAAGCCGGTTTCCGAAAAGGCTTTAACACCATAGACCACATACATACCCTTCAGCAAATTGTACAGAAGTCCGAAGAGTACAATCCGCCACCTTGTCCTGCGTATGTGGACTATGAGAAAGCCTTTGATTCCGTCGAAATTTGGGCGATGTCGCTGTCCCTTCAACGGTGCCAAGTTGACTGTCGGTATATCAAAGTGCTGAAGTGTTTGTACAGTAGGGCTCCGATGGGTATCCGAGTATAAAATCAGAGTACGAAACCTATCCAACTGCAGAGAGGTATAAGACAGGGGGACGTAATATCACCGACACTCTTCACCGCTGCATTGGAAGACGTCTTCAAGCTACTGGACTGGAAGGTGGAAGGGACACAGTATTGATATCAATGGCGAGTACATCACTCACCTTCGATTTGCCGACGATATAGTCCGCTGGAGGACCTAAGCACCATGCTCAATGACCTCAATAGTGTCTCCCAACGGATAGGTCTTAAGATGAACAAGGACAAAACAAAAGTAATGTATAACGTCTATGTCACACTTATGCCGGTAGTTGTTCGAAGCACTAAGCTCAAAGTTGTTGATGAGTATGTATACCTGGGACAAATAGTTCAACTAGGTAAGTCAACTTCGACCAGATTAAGAGAGGTTAATTGACGGATTCAACTCGGCTGGGCAGCGTTTGGGAGATTATGACACATCTTCTGGTCAAAACTATATTGTACAACCAGTGCGTCTTGCCAGTGATGAAATATTGATCTGAGACGTGGTCCTTCACTGCTGGCTATATGAGGAAGCTCAAAGTCGCTCAATGAGCTATGGAGAGCCTCGAGTTTTCTCTGCGTGATTAACTTAAAAACGATGATATCCGCAGTGAACCAGATTAACCGACATAGTTCAACGGATTACTCAGAGGAAGCCGCAATGGGCCGGCCAGCTCTTAGAACCGACAACCGATGTGGACTTGTGAAGGGATGTAATGATGATGATGATATATAAAATAATATGAAATTGCAACATTATTTAAAAGCTATATAAAATAATGAAATCTTTAATCCTTTTGACTTACCGAAGTGGTGTAGAATTATTTGAAGTATTCTTTCGACAAGAGTCTTGTTCCTTGTATCGTGCTCTATATATCTTTGGTGGCTCTGATATACTACGATCTGAGGAGTATGACAAATCTTGCCTTCTTAACCTACTCCTCCGTTGTGATTCAGAAATATTGCCTTCTTTTTCTTGTTCTGTTATAGAATTTAAATTTCCCGATATCTTTGTTTCTCTGTTTTTCTCACTATACTTAATCCGTAATCTCGGTGCTGGAATCGGAGTGTAATTTACTTTTGAAACTAGGTTTACATACTCTGGAGCTTCATCTGATTCTATTTCACTACTGCAAACACTATTTGAAACTTTTTGTACTAATCTGACCGATTCAAAAATCTCTTCTTGCACACGATTTTTGTCATGTAATTTGTCATCCTGTGGATGTTTCGACATTAATTCCGGACTTTTTTCTATTCCAAAATACATGAGATCACTCTCTTTTAGTTGTCTTGTATTAGACCTTACTAGAATTGGAGAAGTCTGTAATATTTGCAATTTTCTTTTAAAAGAGTTCGTAGAATTACTTTCTATGTTTTCAAGTTCCGAATTTAATTCATTACTTTTTTCTGGCGTTATATATTTATTGTTCATAGAGCTTCTTTGTCTAAAAGAACCTGTAACACAAAAATTTAGTTTTATATAAACATCAAATATGTAAATGAGATTGAGAATATGTTGTCCTGTCTATTAGGGATAACAATTTCTGAATAATCGGAAACTGTAAGTTATAATACATCTTCAAATAAGCTATTTAATGTTTACGCAGGATATATCCTATATTCCCCTAACCTACAACTGCACAATGTGATAAGACCAGGAGCTGTTTGGTATTTATGAAGTGTTAAAGACACGATGGAAATCATAATATAACTAGATCTTGCACAAATATTGACTCCACCTAGGATTGGAGTCCAGAATCTGCGATGACGTAGCCAGTTAGCTTGTTGACCACGTGCTCTTCATATCAGGCATATTATATAAGATGGTATACCAACATATTATCGGGATCATCGGATATTTCTGACATTTCGTGTAATCACCTCTTAGGATACACACGTCACGGGTTAAATGAATTCACACCGGCACCACATAGTTATACATTTATGTCAAATTTAGTGGCTATATAAATATCAAATCACTTGATAGAACGTTAATTATGTGTTTAAAAACCTTCTGTATTATATTTTTACCTTCATTGCTGGTTCTGTAAGAGTTATGCGTTAAAGCGCTTGAATGAAGTTTAGTTGGGTAGTGAGATTTTATTCCACTGATAAATTTTCTGTCTGCTTCAAGCTGAGTGTTAATAAGAGAAACTCCTGTTACGTTTTGGTCATTCACAAAATCCTTATCACTTTTATTTATTAAATTATCATCATTCCCAAGTGTCATGTTCTCTCCTAAGAGATATGGCTTGGGTTTCGGGATCTTATTTTTGAGAATACTTTTTGTAGCTGCTGTATTCTCATCGGATTCACCAATCTCGGAAGTGCTGGAATTTAAAAAACATTCGGTTTTGTTTTTTTCGTTGAAATCGGTTTTTTCTCCAAAAAGCATCACAGGCTTTTCAAATCTGTCACTGATAGGAACAAATGCACTCCTCCGCCTCCTGAAATCATTCGTTGGCGGCGGTTTTTCATCTGTTGCTATTATGTTAACAGTTCCTGTTTCTGTCGTGAAGTGTAGTTCGGTTTTACAAAATTCAACCTTTTTGGATTTTTTATCTGCTTCGTTACTAATTTGATTTTTTCTGCATTTATCGTCGTCATCTGTTTCAATAGTTACTGGAAGTGTTATACACATCCTGCCTGGAGATTGCAGAGTTATATTATTTTCGGATAGTCGTTCTGGCGTAATACTATGTTCCTTCAAAGGCTTTGTAGAATGACTACCTACTGAAGTGTTTAGCCTATTTTTAGTAAGCCAATCCTTAAATGTCTCCTCGGGTGCTTGCGACTTTCTTTCCTTTGACTTATAATATCGTGTATTATCTGTATCATTAACAATTTCAGATGATTTGCAAATACCGCTATCGGTTGAGGATTCCATTGCAAATCTGTCATTTCTTTCTAAAATAATTTTGCTTAAAGGTGCTGTGTCTTCAAAACTGTAACTTTTTCGTCTATTATTCCAGTCATCATTTCCATTTAAGAGAGATTTGTATTTAAGGGTGCTTAATGTTACTGGTGCATCTAATAAAGGTGAAACCCGATTATTTTTAGGGTTACCTGGTTTAAAACTTTCTGATTGGTGATGACTGTTTTCAATTACTTGCTTTTTATATGAGTTTTTTGGATATGTTCTTGAATCGAGATCAATAATACTCGCATTGTCAGTTGATGAAGATTCTTCGCTGGGCAGTCGTATTGAATTGCTACTGCTGACACTTCGCCATTTTGATGGCTGCGATATGTCTAAATCATCTGGTTCAGTCACTTTATAGTCTTGGTTGTCAACGTTTGAGTCGGTAATTTCCAAGGGCACGGAAGATATTTCTAAAGGTTTTGACGGTAAAGATGTAGGTTCAAGGAAGTTATACCCTGAAGATATCACCTGAAATTAATAAAAAATACTTTTTTAATATATTGGATTACGGTGTTTGGTGTACGAATGGGTCGGCTCGACCGGGTAAGAACTACGCTCCCACAGAATACCAAAGTAAAATTGCAGCTGTGTTACGTATGATAAGTGTAGAGAACCAGAGACGCTTTATACTGGAAACGAGGCATTCCACCTTAGTCCTAAGAGATGATAACGCATCTGTATTTCTATTCTTAATAAAGAATAGATGTCAATGTCAGTTTCATACGTCACTTCGTTCTTGTTCGTGGTTCGTTCTTGGTTTACGCGGGCGACCTCAGGGTAATTTAGGGCAGTGGTGGTTTACGTGAAGGTTTGTTACGGTCACATATGTATATCTTATGGTTGCACTGCCGGAAATATATAGATAGATTGTCAACTATGATCATCTTTGTACCTTGGCATGTGAATGATTTGATGTAAATTGTATTATTTTCAAAATCTAAAAGTTATTTTAAACATTTTGAATACCAGTCCCTATAATCCTGGTTTGAAAATAAGTTCTTCAGTTACGATCTTCCTATTTGCGTCCATTTTTAGTTGTTATAGCGGTCAAACCGCGAACTCACTCATTACGCTCATTATCAAGAAAGCCCACGTATTATGACGGGCAACCACGGAACCCTACCTCTACATTGTGTTTGTACGTGGCCCGACACGCCTTGGACAGTTTTTTATAGAACAGTTTCAAGCTACAAAATTGGTTTTAGCAACTATTTAGCTACAAATCCCCATATAAATTTCAATATTTTTCTGCTGACTTTTCTCTACTAGCTTGATAAGAGCTGTAAACTGTAACGATGTTAAAAAAAGCAAGTAATTAATCGTGTAGTTGTGTAAGAAATGCCGCTCTCTTAATGAAAAAATTAAATTATATTTAGCGACAAATAAAACTTCTTTCTTTGTTTTCTCTATATATAAAAATCAATTACTGACCGTTAGTCTCGCTAAAATTCGATAACGGTTTGAACGATTTGAATGATTTTTGCATGCCTTAAGCGCAAAGCGCGTAGGTATGTTCTACTAGCGCCTAAAAATCAAGATTCCAACGTTTTGTCGCATAAAATCGTCTCTAAAATCATATTGAACATGTAAATGATATGAAAAGCACATTGTCAGAAAGATAAATGATTCTTGAACTTATTAATATTTTTGAAGTTATACTTCTTTTGGGGCGTTTGGGAAAAATGATGAGAGTGAATTTTTTACGATGCGCGTGCACACCGACACCTAATAATGACACCATGAAGTGCGGAACCGGGGCGGATCCCTAGTATTTATATAAATAATTAGCTTTTGTAAGGTTTACCCTGCGTGAGGACTGAATCATGTACGAAGATGCTGGCTCCCCCGGCCCTGCGGTAGCGTGATACGCCGCCCGCAATACTCGCACTCGAGCACCCGGCCCGCTCGCTTGTAGCACCTCCATAGCGCGCGCCACACGTTTGGTCACGCCGCCTTCTGTGACCTATTAAAAACATTCATTGTATTAGGTATTTTTTTATTTATTTAATCTTTCATGCACAAAGTTGTACATATGGCGGACTTAATGCCAAAGGACATTCGCTCCCAGTAAACCATTAGACTAAACAGAGATATACAAATAAGAGGCGGTGCAGCAGTTATCAAAATAGAAAGCGATAAAAAAGTATTGTATATACATATATACATACACACATACATAGACAAATATACTTAATTACACACAATATATACATATATAAATACACACATATACATATACATGCATACATATACACTACATATATACACAATACATATAAATATTATCTATGTCAGAACAAATATGAAATATACATATGCGTATGAAAATAAGAACTGTGTTAGTTCAAACTTACAACAATTTTTTCACATGCTTACGGACTTGATTTTTAAAAACAAACTTGTTGGAAGCTTTTTTAATGTCAAGTGGAATGTCGTTCCGGAGTCTGATGGCCGTGAGGGCGAAAGATTGAGATAAATAACCAGTACGGTGTAAAGGAGTAAGCAACTTAAGATTAGCCGAAGAACGGAGAGAACGATAATGAGAATCTCCCAGGCATTGAAATTTGGATTTCAGATACTCGGGAGCACATGGATCGTTCAAAATTATGAAAAGGGTGCAGAGTATTCTGACATATCTACGCTGACGGATAGGCAGCCAATTTAGCTGAGCATGAAAAGAAGATACATGGTCGTATTTACGGAGACCATAAATGTATCTGATACAGTTATTAAGTAGACGATCCAATGTATTAAGATGATGTTGAGGAATAACAAGTTCAACGAATAGCTGAAAGAACTGACAACTGAGTACTGAAAACATGGGAAGTAAGGTCAAAGCAAACCAAGGAGGCCGCAGTGCTCACTTCCACAGCTAGGAACATAGCTGTTTGGTGGTAGAAACAAGTAAGAGGGTAATACCTACCCAGACTATCCCCTGAGCTCACCTGATCTCCCATTATTCTGTAGGGCAAATTGGACATTAAAATAAAACAGTTAAGTGCAAATTATACTAGCACAATCACTGTTCTTTGCTAAGAATATATCTAATATTACCACAGAATAAATAATAGTACAAGAAATATTACTTCAATTATCTTTATTCTAGATTTTTTAGGAAAGTTTTAATGAGAACTGTGGCAAATATGGCAAAGTTGCTGTGTATGTATGTTGAGTGTGGAGACCCTTTTTACTGGTAACGACGCATTCGATCTGTCCTCAGAGGGTGACAACACATTTGCATTTTGATTTGCGGATGGATTTTTGACAGAAATAATCTGCATGATACCAGTTAAATGACTTTTAGCCAATAAAATAAAAATGTAGTAAAGAAATATTTAAGTTATAATTAAATAAGGGATCAAAATGGTAAATATCATCTTTTTTTGGACTTGTCAAAATATTATACTGCAAAGTAAATTCACAGTTCACACATGCAATATTCATGTCCAAAGTAAGGATGACCTCACTTGTTATAATAACTGTTAACGCAAGTGCCTTATTGTGTATTTAGTGTCAGTAACATTTTGTAGTACTGAAAAGAGCGCAGAGCGACGTGCCGACAAAATCATTGCGTTTGAGAGGCTGACTAGAATTTTCTTAAATAAAACTTTACATAGAAAGTTTTTTGCACAAAGATTTAAAGGATTAGCATTTTATGTGTATGGGTTTCATTCAGAGGATGTAGTAAAATCGTGGTTAGGTAAAATTAGAGCCAATATGGCATCTAATACAGGCCTTCTCTGATTTTTATGAGGGTTAACAATAAGTCCGCCACTTTACATATGTGTTTTATTCCTCAGACATGCAGGTTTCCTCATGATGTTTTTTTTTTTTCACAGCTAAGCACGTGATAAATATCTTTTAACGATTTTATTTATATCTACGGGGATTTAAAAAGTTCATCACGCACTGAAATATAAGTCGAACGCATAGCACTTAACACCGCTCGTGTATTTAGGTAAATAAACACAAGACGTTTAGTTAAATAACGAATATTCACATTATTAATTGAAATATTTTAGAACTGCAGAGTCGGAGAATGTATAAAATATATATTATTTCTATGCTACATTTTAAGGACACACTTTCACGTTTTTCAGTCCTATAGTAATAAGTTACGTTCAATGCGACCTTCATTTGAAATAAACAGGTATATTTATTGCTACGAGTGACGTGATCACCGATGCGGGGGCGAAATGAAATGGCACCTCGCGATCGTGATCTTTCCAATGAACGACAAGTTTTGCTATTCTACGTAGGCGTGAGCAGCATAATTAAATGTACAATCATATCTGGAGAGGAACATACGATTTTGTCAAATTAAACCTATTTATTCACGTCAAATTTGTAGAATCCATTCATATATTAAGTAGGTATTTACTGACAATGAAGCTATAAAATGAAACATCGGATGAATTTTTTTGTGGGTTATATTTTTGACGCCGTTTGGTATCAGAGTAAGAGAATCCATCACCCCATATCGTTCTGTGGGTGTCGTATGGGGGTGATTATGAGAAATGCGAGAAAAATCTTATGATATCCTATAGATGACGGTTGACCTTCTCATTTTCGCGAAACGTAAAATATTCATAGTCGGGCAGCAGCGTTAAAGGTGCAAAATTACAGATTTTTTTTTTATAGGATAGGGTGACAAACGAGCACACAGTCCATCTGATGGTAAGTGGTTACTGTGACCCATAGACATCTACATCTATCCTCGATTACGAATCAAATTACAGATGTGTTGTCACCCGTGAGGACTAAGATGGAATGCCTCTTTTCCAGTAAAAAGGGTCTCCGGTTCTCTACACTCACCATACGAAACACAGCAGTATTAAGCTGCTATTTTACTCTGGTATTCTGTGAGAGCGTGTTCCTACGCCGGTCGAGCCGATCCATTCTTGCTACAACCATAATATAGTTGCAACGTGGCTCTATCACATATAACCTATTTAACCATCATTGAAATAATATTTTTGTCTCCTATATATATTCATTCATTCATTACAGGCTGTCAAAAGTCCACTGCTGAACATGACCTGCGCCATAGATTGCTTCATAAGGTAGTTTCGGCATCCAATTTGTCGGATAATAATGACTTTGAAGTAAATCACAACAGTTATGTTGGTTCGAACACAACCTCGTAGCGGCCTTTCTGCAGGATTTCCGGATTTGGCTATAGTTACGACACATGGCAGGCGGATTGGCACGGCTACGGGATGATTTGGAATAGTGCTTATTCGTATGCCGCCACTACACAGCCTCCGATGTAAATTTTTATTAAATATGCATATTTTTGATTCTATTGCTTCAGATAATTAATATCTCTTTAGTTTTAGTAGTGTTACTGCGATAGTTATTACTTATTAGATCAAGGCGAGTATTCGGAAGATAATCTGACGTCAACAGCGAGATCGAACAACAACCACAACCGACCTAAGGTCACAGCCCACTGCAAAGCTAACTACTTAGTACTTGCATATGCACGCTTTTACAACAAGTAACGTCTTGTTAATATCATATACCATAAAGTTCAACCATATTTATTCTACCTGCGTTAACTATATTGTCAGTTCTTATTTCCTATTTATTTTGATTAAACACAAGGAAAAAAAACAACCGAAATACACGCGGTCATCAATTCTTGCACATCCAAGAATTACGTTACAACTAATTTGTTATGACGTGTCGATATCACGAGAACTGTGGGAAAACTCCAACAAGATTTAATTCATAAAGATCAATACACTCTGACCGTATTACTCCGAAAATATGACGACTACTTATGCTAATGTGATTGAAATATATGTCATTAATTGTTGAGTCATCGGTACCACCTACGTCACAACACAATCTAAAATTGTTCGTAAAACTTTAATATATTGTAGTAACTGTTGTATGTGTTTGTAATAAACGTTTTTTTTTTTTATAAAATATCACTTGGAATCCAATTTGTCGAATAATAATGACTTGAAGTAAATTACAACAGTTATGTTGGTTCGAACACAGCCTCGTGGCGGCCTTTCTGCAGGATTTCCGGCATTTTGAGAGCCTTAAACAACGGCAACATTATAATCATTGTCGCTTCTTTAAAACAAAGTTATGGACGAAACAAGGAAGATAAACTAAATAGATAAATAGTATTATTACATCTGTATAATTAAATACTTGATACTACCGGGGCATACAAGCTTAGCTTGCCGATAGAAAAAAATATAATTTTCTTAGAATTTCACCTATCTAGATAAACTTAGCAAGCAAATTACATTTAAATACTTACTAAGTTTCATCCAAATCATTAGAGCCTTTTCCGAGAAACCAATTACTTAATATGTATCAGAATTACTCACTTAAAGTAAATATTTGGAAATAAAGAGAGTAAAAAAGTAAAATGTTATTTAAATATTTTGTACTATTCGATCTTACACAAGACTCCTCGTCATTGTAAATTTCGCTATAACATTATAAGCATATTAGTGTTAACCGAACAAAAGACATCAACGCGGCGAACGGCGATGTAACCGCTCTACAGTCTACAGAGTGAAGGGAGTTCCTATTTATAGATGAAATTATTTGTTGAATTATGTACATACTCAATGTATTTTATTTATAGAAGATAAAAGCCATTATTTATAAAAGACAAAAAGGATTTGATAGAAGCTAAAATAATAATAGAGCCATCGATGCTCTGGGCCCGACAGTTTGTTTTAATTGTTGAAACCCAAGTATGATTTTCAATTCTTTTTTTGAAAAATATTACATGGGCATGCAGTTTAGTCAGTCGTTTAATATGGCAGGCTGGCGAGATCTTTCCATTTCCTTCTTCTAAAAGTTATCTCTGCTACTGACGGGGTCCGATTTCCATTTTGTCTCCACTTTGCCCGGTCTGCAGCGTCCTCGGTAGTAAGTCCATTGACTCTCATCTCTCACTCACGCTGTCCATCCACCGCTTTTAGGGACTACCACATTTTTTGGTTTTGCTGGTTTTGGTCTTAACACAACAGTGTGAAGTTATATGCTTTCATACTCGACATTGGAAGCAATCACCTTACGTAGGACGTATCGGTTTCACACCTTATATTATCGAAGCACCTTAACCGACATTATTAAAGCTTATCCGCCACGTCACGTACTCCGAGATTATCATAGATGTACACGTTAGTATGCAGTTTAGCTTCAAAAGGTCGCACATCCAACGCAGCGTTTTTATTTCCAAAACGTGAAGCTCCTACATCTTATGTCGGCCTAGGATCGGCTAGGTTTCACTACCATACCTATAAGAGTAGATAAGGGTTGGATGATGCTCTTTTACACATGTAGATTAAAATTATTTTGATCGGTCCGGGATATATATCATCCGCGTCATGTAATCCTTCTTTGCCACATTTAGTTCCAGAGTGCCGTTTAAAAGCGTGACCTTTCATAAAATTAAAATTACTCTTTGCTCAAGTTTTCATTGTCTTCGTCAACAAGTGCGATGTCATGTCATTTGGTACAGTTCCGTTGCCTTCTCTGAGTTTTTGTCAATCTGAATACCAGTTTCTGACCCTCCTCTATATGAAGCTTATAATACGGACGCAACAACTTTTCGTTTTGGGCTTTGGCAACGACCCGCTTTGTTCTTCAAAAACAAAAGGAATAAAATAAAGTTCTTTTTAAAAAATATTATATTATCTATACTCGTATAAATTAAATGATAGTGGTTTGCAGTTAAGCGTGCATCATTAGGTTTTTTAAGTTTTATTTCTTAGACACTGGGCCCCTATACAAAAGAAATATTGCGATATCTTCTTTAATATAAAGTTATTAAAGTTTTAAGAAACAACGATTTTTATAAGCACTACGTGTTCAGTGATGTGTTTTCTTGATATATCAAGCAACGCGGACGAAGTCGCGGGTATCAGCTAGTTTATAAAATAAAATTTTAAGATATTGTCTACGAAATTTTTAACATAATAGTTAATTGAATTTATTACAGATGATATTCAATAGGCCGCGCGGCTCGTAACGTCGGATTTCACATGTCATCCAAATATATATTTTTTTCTCTCAGACATACAGGTTTTCTCACGATTAATGTTTCACTTTACCGTAGAGCACGTGGTAAATAGGAATGTCATTCTTACAGCCTATCAAATGTCCACTGCTGAACATAGGCCTCCTCCACAGATTATATATGCCTTAGTTGCAAAACTAGGCAGGCGGGTTAGCAACTGCAGATTTTACTATTTTTAGTTAATATAACCACAGAATAAATAATAGTACAAGAAATATAACTTAGATGATGCTGCTCATCTCTTGTTTCTCTACCCTCTGTCACCTCTTACGACACCCACGGGATGAAACAAGGTATGTAGTGGACTGTTTTACGCTAGCAGAATTAACTTAAAATGTATTTTTATAGATAATAACTCGTTATAAAATTTCACAATTATATCGCTTCCTTTTCCTACAAATTAACACAATCAATCGTTTTCTCGAGGAAAAGAGTTGGTAACTTCCTCACGTACAATGTTACTTTCACTGTTCGATAATATGACTGTTCGAACAGAATACCCATTGTTTGCTACTATTGTATTAAGTCATCATGACAGACTTGTTGGTTTAGTGGTAGTAAGCGTGAATGCTGATCATGCGGTCCCGTGTTCGAATCCTGGGTCAGGCTAAAACCAATGATTTGCTTTTTCTGTCAAAAAATTTACAAAAGTATTATAATATTTCTGCTCGGAAGCAGGAAGTTGGCGATGTGTCACCCGTGTGTTTAAAAAAACATGTAGATGGTCCTGCACCTGGTCTCCCTTCGGTTGTGTCGAATTGCGGTCCCATCGGGCTATCAAAGTGAGAGAATAGAGAGTGCACCCGTGTTTATGCACACTCTCGTGCACTAGGTCTTATCCTGTCATGTGCAGATGGCAAGTACCTTTAAGTCTGGCCGTCGTGACCGAAATTCGAAGGGTCATTATGAAGTCTTCAGTGTCGCGTTTGTTCATCACTATTATTACTTTACAATACGCTGTATAACACCACGTATTCCATTACTATTCACGTCTATTACTAACTTCAATTTATTGTGCTATTTTCCGCACAATAATTTAATTCTAAAAGTGTGACGTTATCTACCTCGACATAAAGTACGTTACCGATAAATATAGCATGTGGTAGCTACACATTTCATATAAACAATTTTATTCTTTCATATTACTCCTATTTAATCTATAACTAAAATTTGATATACATATATTACTAAACGGTAACATAATTCATAATTTTAAGTTTTAAAGGGTTTAAAAAAATAGCTTTAAAACCTCCATCACTCTTTTATTAAACTTTATTACTTCTTTTTATTTCTGTTATATTTTATGTCTATCAATTTTATTAATAACTTTATATATTTTAACTTTTAGGTTTTGATGTACATTTTTTACATTAACGATTAAGGAGTAGAAGTTCAATAGGGAAGTCAGGTTACATAACGTGCCACTGATTATTTATGTCCATAAATACTTAAATTAGCTTTACTTACTAAATAAAAATAACATAGATAGATAGATAGATACTTAGAATAGAAATACGATTAATAATTTGCTGAAATTAGTAAAGTGTGAAGGGTAAGTACACATAAGATCGGATACGAGTTGAACTTGTTAGCACCATTCAAAACTTGCTAATACCTAATCATCGCTTGTTTAGGTTTTGTACCTATATTTTAAATAAAAAGACCATTAACACTAAAAGGCTTATTACATTACACGATTTATCGGGCCCTGTCCATCGTGTGCCCTGCCTACCAGACAGGGCGCTGCTTATTACACTACGCTAGAAATCGCTTCCTGCCTCAGTTGTTACTCGAACGTGGAAATGATTGCACGTCTATCATTATGGCGCAGACTTTATCTAAACGTCAAAAAATTGCTTTATTGTTTTTTTTACGCGGTAGAGCCATGCTATAGCTATATTAGTAGTATAGTTGTAGCACGAATGGGTCGGCTCGACCGGGGAAGGATCACGCTCTCACAGAATACCAGCGTAAAATAGCAGCTTAACACTGCTGTGTTTCGTATGGTGAGTGTAGAGAACCGGAGACCCTTTGTACTGGAAAAGAGGCATTCCATCTCAGTCCTCACGGGTGACAACGCATCTGCATTTTGATTCGCATACGAGGATAAATGTAGGTGTCTATGGGCCACAGCAACCATTTACCATCGGGTGGACTGTATGCTCGTTTGTCACCCTATCCTATAAAAAAAACTTTGGCTGGCGGTAACGTGCAAGGCCAAGCTAAAAAAGGAAGGAAAGTTAAATGTGGATGAAAAATTATTTGCTCCTCAGAGAAAAACTATCGAATATGCAAATAGTCAGCGTTTTGGACCCAACAGACCTGCGAAACTATTTTAAAGAGTAGGTGAAAACCAATTCGACGAGTTGTTAAGCTTAGTATAACGCCTTTAATAGACAAAAAAATACTTTAATCATTTCTTATATTTACGCGAACACTACACATTGAATAAAACTACTTGTACGGATTCCATCGCGTTTAATTATATTTTTTTATTAATTTCCGACGTTTCGGGTGCTTTACAGCACCCAGTCCCCTGTGACTATGGGTGGTAAAGCACCCGAAACGTCGGTAATTAATAAAAAAAAAATATTAAACGCGATAGAATCCGTAAAAGAAGTTTTATTCAAAAGAATACTTTTTTAAGAGAGATTGGTTGTCACTTTACGATTTTGGCCACTGGAAACTCCTATCAATATTTGATAAGGCATTTCTTTGTAGATGTCGATGACATTGAGAAGGATCTTTTTCTTTAGCGCATGACATAGCTTTACGAACAATGATTTAGAGAGTAGATCGACACACTGGAACTTTAAATAAACAGACGTGTAGACTCTGCGCATGCGGCCACGCAACTGAGCTCCCTGCCTCCCTGTCTCTTATTACACTACACGATCCACAGCGCGGCAGGGAAGCAGGGCGGTCGGAACCACTCGGTCGCCCTGTTTAGGGACCCTGACTCCCTGTTTCTTATTACACTACCCTGTCCCTGCGGGCAGCGCCCGAGAAATCGTGTAATGTAATAAGCCTTTAAAAACTGGTTCGGCCAGGTTAAGAAAAAAGTTGTTTACAGCATTGAACTTTACGACACGGTTGCCAATGATTCATTTTAGGTTATTTCAAGTATAACAGTTGTGTCTTATAGCACTAGCTTCGCCTGAGTTTTTAAGCCGTATAAGGAGACGACCACTTTATACTTTTGGCAACAACCGCTTGTAAATCTTAAATGCCGTAATTCATGTCATATCGGTTTAAATCTGTCTAAAAGATAATAAAGCAACAGACACTCTAAATTCAGCTATGACATTTTTAAGCCTACGCTTAGTAATTTATACAAGAAACAATAAGTGACGTTATTTTTATGTTAAAGCATTCGTGAAAGAAATTTGTTTTTTGTGTGAAAAATGCTAACTTTAAAGCTGTTTAAAGGTAACCAGTGGCCTTACTTTTCCATATTCTGCCGTTCCAGCCCACTCCCGCCGCCACTGACCCGCGACTTCCATGACTGTGAATTGGTTTATTTGTTCTCGATCGCTGCAGCTACACTCGAGTTTCGTGGCTCGCACTCGTAAACTAGCGCGATAACGTTCGCTCTTCGCGTCGGTATAAAGCCCACTGCCAATACTTGCGCCGGAGCGCAGCCTTCGCTTAAAAATATAATATTTAAATATCTTTGTTGTCTTGTTGGCAAAAAACCGTAGTAGTAGGTACTATAGATGTTAACGCCCACTGTAAATTATAAGTTTCCACCCAGACACGTATATATAAATGTACTCTGTGTATAGGTCACCCACGCACTAAGTTTGTTGCTGCAGGGACAAAGGGCCATGCATTTTGGCTGACTTTCTAATGATTTTAAAATACTTTAAAATATAATCATGCTTTTTAACAATTTTTATTACATTTGGTCTCACTTACAACGCCCTTTATTCTCTTTAAATTTCCTTATCCATTGTTATTGATAATTGAGGCCTGATTCAAATTATGATCGTAATTGTCATAATTACTTCCAACAGTTTGTTTCGAAAAATATGTTTTATAAGTAATTTGTTAGTCTTTGCATTGATATATATCTTAAGCTGATAAATAATTATCTTACAATAATTATTGGAAATTATATAAACAATTTTTTATTAATAATTATTTTGTGTGTGTCTTCAGGTAGTTTTCACTCTGCGTCACTCGCGTAGATTTTGGTTAGCTACATTTTTTTTTGCCAAGTTTAAAGGATGGAAAGCCTTTGCACGTTTGTAGATCACATAAAAAACTAAAGGAAAGAAACTATTCTAAATACTATACGCAAACCATGTCAAGAACTATTCCAATGAATTGTATCACTCTCGTATGATAGTAGGTATTTTAATATGATTATACGAGTAGCTTAGCGACAGCACTTATGGTTAGGATTGAACCTTTTTTATACCGAGTGACAAACGAGCTCACACTCAACCCCATCTCGACGGTATATATTTTATCAAAAATATTAAATACATTTGTTACCTCTGAGAAACAATCTTCATATATGAAAAATAGGTTTCACATTGCTTATCCGCGATGTACTCCTAAACTACTGAACTGATGTCAATGACGTTTTGGACCCTGTGTGCAGATTGGTCCAACTTGAGAGCTAGGATAGTTTTTATTCCGATTTTTAAGGGAACAAAGGGCAGAATAACTACTGCCTGACCAGCTAGTTACTTTATAATAATTGGATTGTCTCACTAGTTGCTATAATTTATGTATGTATGTTTTGCCATGAGGAGGCCCCCACCCCATTTCGTCCGCTTATGTGTCGTAAGAGTCTAATATGGAAAATGCCAAAAAAATATTTTGGTTACATATGTAGAGTTGTAGATGTATAAGTATAACGCCAGACGTCATTCAGATCGGCGACGGGGAGCAGCGTTCGCCTGCCAAGCGTAGCGATTATGAAATAAATCCTCCCTACCACAGGAGAGACTCATGTCCACTGTCCAGTTGTGGACTTCTACGGACTGATTGTGAAAAAGAAAGAATATGTAAATCCTTATATTTCTCAAGGCGTTATACTCAGTACGAAAAAATAATAACACTAAAGTATATTTTAAGGGTCAAATTGCGGTAGAGATGCTACAGTTGGCGGAACTTACATATTTATGCTGAAATATACTAACACTGTATATATTATATCTATTGTGCGAATAACAAACAATCCGATGCAGATAACAAGATGATTTGTAGTTTTGTATAGTAGCTGTTAATTCGTATTTTTATCAATTTGTATCTGCATGAAAGTTGGTAGCGGTTATATTCTCTTTGGTGACAAAATACGAGGTACTTACCCAAAGTCTTTTACTGTTGTGGTTAAGGGACCCTATAATAAAAATGATCGCCAAACATAGCAGACAGCTCAGCGGTCGCAGTACCAAATAACTAGCAAATGGTACTGCTTCTATTCACCAATATGGTTATTGAAACTATCGACAAAATTGTTATTGAAACTGTCGGCAGCTAAAACATTTTCAAAGCATTCTCTAGTTGTTTCTTAACACAATGAATTCTCATATTACAATTCTGTCCACATTACAGCCAAACTCTTTATTACAATTCTTTCCACATTACTCTATCTATGAGCTAACCTATTCTAAGTAGAGAAAGCTTGAAAAAAATCTATTTGTGTTTTAGTTACTAGCTGTTCCCCGCGACTTCGCCCCGCATGTAATTTAGGGTTTTAATTATGTTGCGTGGAACCCTAATTAATTTCTAAAAAAAATTTACAGTATACAGATTCATCATTATCATCATTATTAACAGCCTAATAAAGTCCGCTACTAAACATAGGCTTCCATATAGATTGCCTCATAAGAGGAAAATATCCATAATTACCATACGTGGCAGGCGGGTTGGCTAGTGGAGTTTTTTATTTCTTGTTATTACCAAGATGCAACTGCCCATCTCCTGGTTTCCCTCTGTCACATTTTACGATACACATGGAATAATATAGTGTAGTGGATATTCTTACACCACCACAGTCTTATTACATATTACAAAAACCTATTTCCAGCTAAATGTACACTAATTAAAAAAGTATTTAATTTATTAAATACAATATTTTATTTTGCTCAGAGTAAAACATTAAAAAATATTTTTAAAATGTAGAAGTTATTTTGAAAACCTATTTCCAGCTAAATGTACAATCATTTAAAAAGTATTAATTTATTTAATTCAAAAAAAAATATTTTGCTCATGCTTAAACATTAACAAATATTATTAAAAAGTAGCAGTTATTTTGAAAATTATTTTTCACTCTTAAAAAGCAATTTAATAATTAAAACTATTTCATTAATAAACCAATAGTGTATACTGTTAGTAATTTTATTTTGTTAATACTACAAATGTTAATTTCTACAGTTTTTCCATGAATCTACTGTAAGTCTAAGGCTAGTCTAGATTCATGCCATATGTGACACAGCACTTTTTTATGGGTTGTGATTAGTTTTGATACTATTAGCTATAACTACTGTGTAATCTTTATAGTTCATTAATTTTCTTATATAAAATAAACATATTTTTTATAATATTTTAACAGTAATACATTATTGAAAATGGTAATAGTCTGATAAAAAGGTTGTTTATTATTGTTTAAAATGATTGAGATATAAATCTAGGACAAAGTTGTCACATTTTTTAAGATCTATTATGTATAAAAATGCATCTTTTTTATCCTTATTTCTCATATTAATACATCTATTAAATACTGCAACAAGTAAATCTGTTGTTTGATTACTCAAACAGAAATTGTAAAATATTTTCTGCTCAAAACTAAAACTATTGCTCAAACCATTCTTAAAATATCTATAAAATAATTGTTCACGTTTTCCACATAATTTCTCAATATTTGCCCACTCTTGTAGGGAGACTCCGAACAGCAATCCAGTTATTTGTCCTTTGATGACACAAGTTATTTGTCCTGATCTATCAGCTATTTTTAAAGTTGCTGTTGAGATCACTGAACCGTCTTTTTGGTAATTAATTTTAACCGATTCTAAATAATAATCAGACAATAACCCCCAACCTTCTTGCTGTAATTTCAATTTTCTACCTTCTGTTAACTTTGTAGGTGGCACTTTTTCAAAGAACTCCAGGCCAAAACGGGACCTTTGTTTATTGTCCATTATACTACGCTAACATTTAATTTTTTATTAAATGTTTAAGTTAGTTACTACAATAATTCGTAAAATCATAAAACTAAACTTTCAAAAGAAACGTAAGAAAATTAACTTAAAACTTAAAGTGCATCGTAACCATATAACTTAGAACAGAATCTTCTCATTAGTTTGTAAATAGAAGAATGTAATGTATCAATATTAAAATGATATTGATATTGTTGTAATTCACTCATTCTCTGTCTGACAGTCTCTCTCAATAAATAATCGTAAATAATAAATATGTATTATGTAAATGTATATATATATGTATGGTCTGATTTGTCTCAAGTGTCAATGTCAAACTCAAATGTCAATTGCTTTTTCTTTGTTATGGACTCATTTTGTACTTTTGCCAGTGTCGTATTGTCGTAAAAAAAAAGCGCGGGAACCTTGAAACGTGATAGGCGCCTTTTTTAAACTAAAATTTTAATTTTGTTTTATTTAGTTAAAAGGCACTAAACTTTTATTTTACTGGGTTTTTATTGTTACTGGGTTTCCTCATCATGGGGAAACGTAGAAAAAAAAGTTGCCGGGAGAAGAAGTGTTTGAAGAAACGACTGAGGAGGAAGAAATTGATACCAGTACTGAGGAAGATCCTGAGAAAGAGCAGCGCAAGTATAAGCCGTACTTTGTGTCTGACTACAACAGGAGGTATCCTGACGACTTTATTCTCGTTGATTTTGTTGTATTTGTCGAATCAAAGGATGAAAGAAGGCCAATCGGCACGCGGGACATGATGTCTCTGTCCACACATATGAAGAGGTTCAATAAAGGCATTAAATATTTGCAATCTATATATCTATAATCTAAAATGAAGGCATCTATCCCAGCTGTAGGGACAGAAATAACAGGAGTCATAACCAAAGTTCCCACTAATCTTTCTAATTCAAGAATTTTTGGTATGTTAACGACTTACAGGAAGATAATATGTGTTAAATGGATAATGAGGAAACATAAGGATGATGCAGGACGCAGTTTGCTGCAGCCGACAGGCACCGTGGCCATCACATTCGCTTCTAATGTTTTGCCGGATCACGTCAATCTTCATGGTTGGCGGTTCGTGGTAAATCAGTATATTCCACCAGTGAAGCAGTGCTACAATTGTCTGAGGTATGGTCACTTAGCAAAGTATTGTAAAAATTCTGTGAAATGCTCAATTTGTACTGAAAATCACAGCTACAAAGATTGCCAAGTCTCTTCAGATAAAGCGAAATGCATACATTGCAAAGGAAACCATCTAAGCATTTCTGGCCAGTGTCCTGTTAAGAAACAAAAGGTAAAAGAAAATCAGGCTAAAATACACAAAACCCCATTTG